CTGGCGCGGTCCGTATGGTCCGGACGTCGGCCTAACCCAGCAAATTACTACCCCTTACCCCCCCAGAGGCCCAGAAGCAGCACTTCCTGCCAAGATGCGGCCCCTCCGCAGGATAGGGCTCTCCCTGTCAAGCTGCACGCCTCTCCCTTTTTCTTTTTGAGCTTGCTCAGTTTGGAGTCTTTGGACCATTTAAATGGGAACGATAAGCCCCTGCGCGAGGGTGACACGCATAAATCGACAAACGGTCCAAACTGAGCAAACTCAGAAAAAAACAAAATCAGAGAGGGTCATCCAGGTATGCGGCTTGACAGGCAGAGCCCTATCCTACGGAGGGGCAGCATCTTGACGAGAAGCGGTGCGTCTGGGGGGGGCGGGGGGGCTGGGGGGGTCAAGGGCAGCAATTGAGGGTTGCTCTGTTCTGGCGCCGGGGTTGGAGGAGGGTAGTACTATCGTAACCCTTGGTGGACGCATATTGCTCCCAAGCGGTTCTCCTACTTGTATGGCAAGAGAGGTTGGTTTCCCCTCCCTTTCCCTTTTGTCATCGAGGGTGCCGGTGATGGTAGGGCGGCTGCAGCTGTCTTCCCACTTCGCCGGTTTTATTCACGTGTACATTTTTATTATTTTGTTCAGAAGACGTTCAAGATTTCATAACTTCAGCAGGGTTCACGAACACTCCTGTTATTCTCAGCCGGAGCAGGGTACTGGCCCCGGCATGTCAAATTGTTTTGTGTGTATGTTAAATGTTTCATAAGGGACGCTACGCCCCGTTCCCAGCATGTGCTGCTCCCCACAAATAAATTGGAGCATGGTTCCTTCCAAAAAGAAAAGAAAAAAAAGCTTGAACTTTTTTTTTGGGCTTTTTTAAAGTTGTTTTTCAGCTGCCTTTGTTTTTCGTTCCTCTTTCTTCTTGTTTTTTATTTTCATTTTTTAATTCTATAATAACTTAATACGTACAAGACTCTACGATTTTTCAACGTTCTCATTACTCGAACAATTATTTCTCGCCTTAAAAAATTGCAATAATGAAAAAGTTGCCAAAACAGTCAATCCACTGAATCCAGGCATACATTTCTCTGCCTTTCGTCAACTGGATCTGTGCTCATTTTTTAATTTTTTTATTTGTTTATTTTTTATTTTTTATTTACAAAAACAACCAACGATCCCAACTGGGGGCGGGGGGGGTTGGGGTTGATAAGAGCAGCCCCTCCTAGTGATTTGTGGTGAATAATGAATACAGTGTGTATGATTTATATTTTATAATTCTATCACTTGACTCACTTCTGTGGTTCATCGGCCCACATTATTTTTTGGCGGGGGGAGGGAAGAAAAAGTAAAGATTGCCAAAATAGGAAATCCGTGCACACTGCATAGTCAAAAAACTTGAAAGAAGTTACGGAATCTGGGGCCAAGTCCCACTAGCAGCGTTGAGCTACCTCAACACCTGAATCTGGACGTGTTTGTGGAGACGCGTAGTTCAGGAAACTCAACACCATTTCTGCACATCTCCGCAAAACCGTCCACATTCACGCGTTGAGGTAGCTCAACGCTGCTAGTGCAATTTGGCCCCTGGATTAACAAATATGAAATATCAAAAATGGAAATTTGTATACATAGCAACTTTAGCAAGTTACCAACCATGACAATCCATTTTCAATGTTGTTTTTTTTTTTTTAATCATACGAACACAAGATTTCGAGTTTTAAAACTTTTGATCGATATTTGTGGAGTCGATTATCCTTCTCGAAAAGATAGATTTCAAGTGGTGTACAACTTATTGCGTATTCAGTACTATTCACTGTTCAGACTATAATTCAGTACAACTCACGTCTTCGTGTACATACACGTGTAGGTGAAATAACCTCCATTCCGTTCAGTAGTCAAAACATTTCCGGACTTTTTGACTTTTGTGTTCCAAAACAACAGCACATCCGAGGCGAGGCTCTCTTCAGTGCAGCGGATTCCCCCCTGCGAGCCAAGCTTTTGCTGAAATGGCAGCTCGGCGCTTCTGCTTTTCTTGTCTTTTGGCTGGAAGCGCGAGTCATTTTGGTCTGGCAGCCCCGAGCCTCCGAACTTTTCGGAACGACTCGTTTTCGTTCGATTCTCAAGTTTGCCTGGGCGATGTACTGGCAGTTCAAGGTTTTTTTTTCCCTTGCGGTTCAACGACCAAAATTGCGATGACGATCTGCCAAACGCACCATCGCCGCCCAAGCCGTCCAGAGAGGTTGACCTGGACGGAGCAAAATTGCGATGACGATCTGCCAAACGCACCATCGCCATGCACCGTATGCTTGTGCATATGCTCATATACGCACTGAGCAGCGCAGCATACGGCATTTGAGAAGTCGGTGGCCACATGGCGGTTGAAGACCCCGATGCATTGCGTCGGGGGTTGCACGGTCAGAAAACCGACGCATTATGTGTTCAAGTATTGAACTCTGTCAGTACTTGCACATAGTTAGGATGGTCACAATGGCCACAACGGCCAAAGTCACAATGCATGCTTTCATATTCACGCCGTGACTCGCATATTTCATCCCGGCAGAGTTTCGCCTCGTGGCACCCGCTAAAATTGAAAAGCACACCAGTAGGCCCTCTGCTGTCTCGGCAAAGGGCCTACCACAACAAGAGCACCAGAAGAGAGAGAGAGAGAGAGAGAGAGAGAGAGAGAGAGAGAGAGAGAGAGAGAGAGAGAGAGAGAGAGAGAGAGGTTAGCGTCCCCAAAAAATATTTCTTTAGTGCCCCTTGTTAGCCCCGCACTGGTTCCAGGAACCCATACCTGGTGCCATTTTGGATCTTTCTTGATAAAGTCTTCCTCAAGCAGGTCCTTCCCTGTTTTTATATCGCTCTCCGTCATGGCTAATCGGCACTGCTCTGGAATGCGATACCTGGAAAAGAAAACAGGCGAGCAAAAAATCCATGACCGTCATGAGAGAGAAAAGCCTGCAGAGCCTTCTGAATAGTCAGAATAAAGTGCCCAGAAAGCTGTTCCAGCAAAGGGTATATACATATACATATACATATATATCGTCAAATAGAACTGCCCGGTAAACCGTAGGCAGAGAGGGAGAAGAGGACAACAAACAAGGGGCTGTGACAAACTGTTTCGTCGGAGTTTCACCGACTCATCAGGAGGCTGAATATAAATATCACAAACAGAAAGCTGTTCCAGCAAAGGGGCTCTTATATATATATATATCGTCAAATAGAACTGCCCGGTAAACCGTAGGCAGAGAGGGAGAAGAGGACAACAAACGAGGGGCTGTGACAAACTGTTTCGTCAGAGTTTCACAGACTCATCAGGAGGCTTAACCCTCAACAGTCTGTAGAATCCCCTCACTGATTACACTGTAAGTGATAATCCACCTTAACCAAAATCAAAGTAGATTATCACTCATCCACACCAGATGGAAAACTCTACAGACTGTCGGTTCACACCCCATCACAAGCCAGCAAAACACCCACGAAACAAAGA